AAAAAAAAACAGGCTTCGACCTGATCGAAGGAAGCAACACAACCTTCGTCTGTAACTTGAAAGGTGCGCGTGTGTAATTGACATTCTGCGAATCCAATTCAATACCCCCGTCACTGCTGCCAGCACCAGGCAGATGGCCCGCATCTCATTTCAACGGCAGAGCTCCAGTATTTTGGCAGCCCTGCGAAAACCACCACATTAGTCATCCTTTATGTGCAAAACACAGTAATCTAAGGGATACTGAATCAGCGCGTCGTTTGTGATTATAATTACTATTATTGAAAATGAAAACATGATCTAAAGTATCCCGACAGTGTGCGCTCCACTGCAGTAATGTGTGTAGGCCCAAGCCATGAAAACTCCCGGTTTCTCACGGACGGAAGTCATAGCGCCCAGACCCAGGAGTCCCGTGGAATCGCCTGACCCCCTGCACACTCGTGGGGCTCGGACCCACGCTGCAGGCCTCGCGGTCACGGGACGGCAGCGATTGATGGGGGCCGCCAGACACGCCCCCGTTCAGCCGGGCACGACCTGGCCTGACGTTCGGATAAATCAACATGCTTGTGTTTGCGCTGCTGCCCCAGCGACACAGTATCAAACCTGAAATGTCCAGGCAGGTGGAAAGAAATTAGCGGCCCTTTTGGGGGGAGGGGAGGGGCCCTCGCCTCTCATTGGTTTTCCGCAGGTCATGTGACAGGAAGCCCCATGAAGGCACGTGCCAGGCTGAGTCGCCCGCAGCCGCAGGCAGCAGGCAGCGGGTGTCTGCAGGGCACGGCGTGCGTCGTGTGCGATCTCCTCACATCAATGTGTCTTCTCGGAGACTTGATCAGCACCGAGAGCCCTGTCGTTATATATTGAGAGAGCGATCACACGTGAGATACCCCAGGTCGCCGGTGGCGTTTCTGTTTGACCGCTCCTGTGGTGCAGTGTTCGATAATTAAGTTGTGTGTGTGTGTGTGTTTATATATACACACACACTCTGTATGTCCCGTCGGGGGTATACCCTGCCTCGCACCCGCTGCGCCTGCTCCTCCACGACGCTGTACTGGGTGAAGCGGTCAGGAAGTGGTATCAGACACACAAACAGTACAGTAGTGTGGCAACTTTCAAAACCTTCACAGAAATCACACACTACTGAGACACGGCCATTTGCGGAAAACACCGTTACAGATAAAGATGACTGAATATTGGGTATTATGACTGTGAGTTTAAGAAGTAAGGCAACTAGCCAAGGCATTGGATCAGATTACACATAATCTTTTGTGTAAGAATATCGTCATCCATTAGGGAAATTATTTTTAAACAGCCTATTTATAGGATGTCTATCCACCATGCATTCACAGGGACAATAAGACCCAAGACACCGCAGCGAGCACCGAGATAGATCAGCGATTATTTTTCTGTAAAGGAACCGAAAACCCGTTCTGTCCAGCCCCCGTCCTGGGGAGCCACAGTCCTTTCATTCCTAGAGGTCACCCTAAATCAGTGGGGTGCAGCGCTGGTTCTGGAGACCCCAAGACTGTCTCGCGAGTCACTCGTTTCGAACACCATGGCAAAAGTCACGCGAGAGTTTTCCCACGTGAGGCTGGGTCTCTGTTGAGTGACAACGGAGGCCCGGGTCCGAGTCCCCCGGCGGTGGGGGGCCGACCTGATGCGGCAGCGACAAGGGCGCCCACCTGAACCCCGAAGTGTTACATTGGACTGATATGTACTTGTAACCTGCTCACGCCTCCATCGCTGAAGTGTGTTCACATGTTGGTCCCAAACAAGTGCCAAGGAGACTCTTAACAGCTCCCGTCCTTAACTGTTCACAGAAGTGTTCCCAAGTCCCAGGGATGGGAGACCCCAGATTTCATTAGTGGAGTCTTCCTAACCCCTGATCTTCTTCATGGGTGTCGCGTACCGTTCAGCTATTTACCCTGAAAAGACCATCCACGTACCGCCCATCGCAAAGATGCCCGTGGAAAGGAACGCGGGTGTTTGTTTTCTACAGTGTGGGTCATTTCCGTCTTCTGGCGCTTAACCGATTGGCAATTGGCAGGACAGAAACGTCACATCAGCTTCTAAACACAAATCGCACGTCAATGAACCGTACAGGGGGGAAAAAATGAAAGGGTGGGAGAGGATCTAATTTTAATACAAATAAGACGGGGGATTGGTCGCCTCGTCACGGCATCGCATTGCGAAAAGACCACAAGTGGGCTCGCTGCAAGCCGAGTCATAAACAGCGCTTCTCCGCCGGTTGCAGCCAGCGGTAGTGTGACGATGCCGAGTTAACTGTGCTGGGAATTTACCGCTGAGAGATGTGTCTTTCACGGGACCGGGGACACACGTCCAGTCGGGAAACAAAAGTATGTCCGGACAGCGGTGGTGTGTCTTAAACGTGCGCTCTCGCTGTTTTCACCTCAAAACTTTCCAGGCCCTTTTACACGGAGAAACGAGACTTAAAGAAAGCGAACCCCGACCACAAGCGTGATGATCGCTGAACGTGATTGATCCGTCTTTGGCTGATTTGTAAC